CGCGCGCGCGCGCACGCCCGAGGCCTTCGTCACAGCATCGCCGTCATGGCCGACCTCGTCCTCGTGCCCACCGCACTCCCTGGCGCCTAGACCACACGTCCATCTTCTCTGTCGTCATCCACTACTTCGCCCGCGTCACCGGATCGAAGCCAAGGAGCGCCAACGCCATCGCCCATGTCGTCTTCTTCCTCAGACCACCGCCAGCAATACTCTTTGATTTCGGTCAGCCTAATGCTCCTAAGCTTTCACCGGGCCTACGTGTGCCTCCACGGTGAGCTCACGCGCGAAACCCCTTTTCTCCCCGCTCCAATATGTCACTCCATCGCTCGCTGCCATCGGAGGCGAAGCTCGTCGCCACCGTTTGCTTCGCCGGCGCGCTCATAGCTGCTGTCGCTCATGTCCGAGCACACCTCTGTGCTCAGCACCTCCGCAGCCGCCTGTACAAGCCCTCAGCACGTCCAACCGTGCCTCTAGTTTCGAATTCACTGTTTAGCCGTCGTCCCCGTGCTTCGGCCGCCATGGCTGAACCGCTGGAGCTCCGCTCCCGAGTGTGCTTGCCCGCTCCCTCCGTAGCCTTAACCGCCCAGCGGGGGCGCCCGCTCCTGCCCAGACCGCCCGTCGCCCGCGCTTCTGCCTCTCCCCAGCCGCACACACCCGCCCGTGCAGCCCCTGCCCGCTGCCGCAGCTGTTGCTCGCCTGCCACTGCTGCTGCGTCCCAGCTCTACTCACCGTTGTCGCTGCGCCCGGTCACGCCCAACCGCTGGCTACCGCACCCCCACGCCGGCTCTAGCTCTGGTCGAGCCCGCCAGTGCCCTCTCTGTGCAGGCGTGCACATCCAAAGAGGCCGGCTGGCTCTCTACCAGTGGCGCCTGGCCCCAACTTAACTTGGGAGCCTAATCCCCCTTTAGTACTAACCCACCCACCACTAGTCTAGTCTATGACAGTGGGGCCCCACAATTTTTAGACTGAGTTAAATAATCTATTAACTAGAGAGAGAGAGAGGGAGAGAGAGAGAGAGAGAGAAACCTGACAAGGGGGCCCCACCCAGGTCGAAACCGCCGTTGACTAGTGCCACATCAGTAGCGGGTGGAGAAAAACCAGCCGGGGGGGGGGGTGTTTTGTCAGGTTTGGGTTTGTTCGGGGGGTAAAACAAGTTGAAAAATAGATCAGGGGGTAAAATGAACCACTCACTTTATTCAGGGTAGTAAAATGGACTTTTT